CAGGGTGCACAGCGGGCCCACCACAGTCCCAGACTGCACGCCAGGAGGATCTAGTCACAGAGTGTTGGGGTTCTTAGGGATTGGCTTGTTTTGAAATAAGATTAGCTTGATTTTTAGCTTTTTGTGAACGTTGGGATGCTTATTTACCGTGTGAAAGTTGGCAACTGTGGCCATTGGATGATCGAGGTGCTACAGGAGCACTCAAGGAACACAAGGTTATTGTGGAGAAGCTAAACTCTACATCAGTTTTCACTGCAGAGGATGGGAAGGAGATTCCCACATCTGTGCCATTCTTTTTAGGTGACAAATCTGAGGAACTGTCCCAGATAAGGCGTCAATAGAGGAGGTTTGTGAACAAATTGATAAATTAAACAGAAATAAGATACTAGGACCAGATTGTGGTCACCCAAGAGCTCTGACGGAATATGAAATTACAGCACTACTAACTGTGGTATGTATCCTATCACTTAAATCAGCCTCTGTACCAAATACAAATAACTGGTGTGATGCCAATTTTTTTTAAAAAACACTCCAGAGGCTATCCTGGTAAATACAGACTGGTAAACCTAACTTCAGTACCAGGGAGATTGGTTGAAACTATAGTAAAGAACAGAATTATAACACACGTAGATGAACACTTTGTTGGAGAAGAATCAACACAGATTTTGTAAAAAGAAATTATGCTTCACCGATCTATTCCAATTTTTGAGGTTGCATGTCAACAAGCATGTTGAGAAGGGTGATCCTCCGGGTATAGTGTATGTGGACTTTCATAAAGCCTTTGACAAGGTGCCTCACTGAAGGCTCAAACAAAATAAGCAGTCATGGGATAAGAGGAAAGGTTTTCTCATAGATCAGTGACTGGTTAAAAGACAGGAAACAAAGGGTAAAAATAAATGATCAGTTTTCACAGTGGAGAGAGGTAAATAGCAGGGTCCCCAAAAATCTGTACTGGGACCAGTGCTGTTCAATATATTCATAAATCATCTGGGAAAAGGGGAAAACAGTGAGGTGGAAAAGTTTGCAGAGGATACAAAGCTACTCAAGCTATTGCACTCTGCTTTGGATTTGCCTGAGTTACAAAGGGATTTCACAAAACTGGGTGACTGGGCAATAAAAGGGGCAGTGAAATTCAATGTTGATAAATGCAAAGTGATGCACATTAGAAAACATAATCCCAACTATATATACAAAATAAAGGGTCTAAATTAGCTGTTACCACTCAAGAAAGATGTTGGGCGTCATCGTGGATAATTCTCTGAAAACATCCGCTCCAAGTGCAGCAGAAGTCCAAAAATCTAAAGAACATTAGGAACCATTAGGAAAGGGATAGATAATAAGACAGACAATATAATAATGCCACTATATAAATCCATGGTGCGCCCACACCTTGGATACTGCGCACAGTTCTGGTTGCCCCATCTCAAAGAAGAAAAAGTACAGAGAATGGCAACAAAAATTATTATGGGGTATGGAACAGTTTCTATATGAGGAGAGATTAAGAAGACCGAAGAAGTGGGCTGTAGTCCACGAAAGCTTATGCTCTAATAAATTTGTTAGTCTCTAAGGTGCCACAAGTACTCCTGTTCTTTTTGCGGATACAGACTAACACGGCTGCTACTCTAAAACCTGTCATTAAGAAGACTGGGACTGTTCATTTTAGAAGAGAGACGACTAAGAGATGATATGATAAAAGTCTATAAATTCATGAATGGTGTAGAGAAAGTGAACACCACAATAACCAGTGGTCACTCAATGAAATTAACAGTCAGTAAGTTTAAAACAACCATAAGGAAGTACTTCTTCACAGAACACAGTCAACCTGTGGAACCCATTGCCAGGGGATGTTATGAAGGCCAAAAAATATAGTTGGGTTCATAAAAAGAATTAGATAAGTCCACGGAGGATAGGTTCATCGATGGCTATTAGCTGGAATGGTCAGGGATGCAACCACTTGCTCTGGGTATCCCTAAACATCTGACCGCCAGAAACTGGGACCATTCAATAATTGCCCTGTTCTGTTCATTCCCTCGAAAGCATCTGGCACCGGCCACTGTCAGAAGACAGGATCCTAGGCTAGCTCGACCATTGGTGTGACCCAGTATGGCCATTCTTATGTTATTAAGTAAATGAGTATTATTACGGTTAGAACAATGTATATTGTGCCTCAGCCTACATACACTATGGCAAACTACCATAAAGTGTATTTTGCTCCTTGGAAGATTTTTAAGCTTGGGCTATCCCAAAATGCAACCTACATTATTTTCCTATGTATTGATCTAGACTAGATAGTTATACTATGTCATTGTTCTGAGCAATGTTTGACATTGGCCACATCCTAAGAGGAACTGATCACTCACAACCCCTAGGCAGCATGGACTAATAGCTAGGGCCCTGGGCTGGGAATCAGGAGGTCCAGGTTCTTCTCCAAGCTCTGCTACTGATGTATTGTATGACCTGGATCAAGTCACTTCACCTCTTTCTCCTCTACCTTTTTTTATTCTTTATCCATTTAGCTCTTTGGGGCAGACTGTTCCTCTTACTTTATGTCTGTAGTAAATAATCAACAACATTGACTTGCAAATGCTCAGCACCTCTCAGGATCAGGCCCATAGTCATTTGCAAAGGCTGTATACTTGATAACACCTAGAACAGGGGTTCTCAAACTGGGAGTCAGGACCCCTCAGGGGGTTGCAAGGTCATTACTGGGGCGGGTCATGAGCTGTCAGCCTCCACCCCAAACCCCGGTTTGCAGCCAGTGAAAGGGGTCACCAGTAGAAAAGTTTGAGACCCACTGACCTAGCACATTTATAGCATTTGTTATTGTCAGACTGAATAACCCTCTCAGTGCTTATGTAAACTATCCTAATAGCTGTTTAGAAATATGAAGTGATTTCTCAAGGTCACAAAATGAGTCAGTGTCAGAGTATCTGGATTGGACACTAGTTTCCTATTCAGTGCCCTATGCATAAGGTATTAACAACATCAATAAGAATAAGATTTATTTAGCACTTATATAATCCCAGTGGCTCCAATCATAGAATCATAGACTATCAGGGTTGGAAGGGACCTCAGGAGGTCATCTAGTCCAACCCCCTGCTCAAAGCAGGACCAATCCCCAGACAGATTTTTACCCCAGTTCCCTAAATGGCCCCCTCAAGGATTGAATTCACAGCCCTGGGTTTAGCAGGTCAATGCTCAAACCACTGAGCTATCCCTGCCCCCTAATAGCAATGAGTGATGTTAACTCACAGGAGGAACAAGTGCATAGTACTTTGTATTTTCTACAAGCATTAATACTTACTAGATCAACTGTAGTAGCCAAGGTGGATTGATTTAAATCAAAATGGTTTAAATCACTGATTTTCATCATGATTTAAAATCAGCAAGCAGGAAGAGTTATTTAAATAAGCCATTTTAATTATGAATTGCATTTGTACTTTTTAATTATTTTCCTAAACAAAGTTGATCCTCATTGGTTAGTAACTATTAAAACATGGACTTGCAATTAAATGTAACCTTTACACTGGTTTGGTGCTTCTTTTTGCTAACCAGGAGAAAACAGTGCATCTATACACATGTATTTAATCAATTATACAGCTTGACTTACATTCATTCAGATTCTTAATTTTACATTTTTATTATATTAAGAAATGCATCATTCAGCATTTTCTATTTACTAGATGGCTAATCTTTTACTTATGATGTGTGTCAGGCTGTGTTTGGATTGACATTTAAGTTCAATTAAGAATGCAAAAAGCAGCATTTTACTTTTTTAAAATTCAATAAAGCTACCTTAAGTGTTCTGGATAGAAAAGAAAAAGTTTATCACAACGTGTTTTGCATTTAAAATTAACTGATTTATTAAACCAATAATTTACTATTCTTAGTTAGTAAATTATTTATGGTCACTATCGCCTTCAAGATTTTAGATCTCATCCTTTCACACCTAAACTTTTATTCATACACTGGAAGAGGAGAACAAGCTTTCCTGCTTTTGCAACTCCCACCTGGTTTCTTAATTTTGAATGAAGTAGTCTTTGAACTGAACTAGTTTAATAAACTGAAATTCTCTCTGCACCTACAGAAGAGGATACTGCTGTCAAAAGCTGGTTTAGCTGTCAACCTCTGGTTCCAGATGCTTAGTCAGTAGCTTCCTCCAGTTCTGTGATTTGACGTTGTTTAAAATTTACTACCAAATTTTACCACTTAATATTATTTCGGGTATTTAATTTAAAATTATTTCATAGATTGACATGTGTTAAGGGCTAAACTTTCTACAAAATTAAGAAAGTGTAATGTATAAAGAAAATCCAATTTTATTTAAAAAGTGATTTTTTTTATTCAACTTGCTATTAATTCACTCTACATGTGTTTTTTCCTTCGCGTTTCAAGACAAATATGTCATGCTCTTCAACAACAACAAAAGGATACTGTCCCTTGCCATGTTCTTGGGCAACAAGACAATCAGTATTGACAATTGGCATCCACAATAAAGGAGGAGAAATTTGGGAAGGAAACGAATTTTAGTGTCTGTTTTAGACTCCAACCAAGCAAGCTCTTACACAGCTAATAAGTCAAACTCATCAATAGGACTACTTAAATGAATAAGTTAAGCATGTGCTAAAGTATTTGCAAGATCAGGGTCCTTAGAAGAGCTGTGACAAAAAAAAAAAAAAGGGCAAACAGTAAATTGACTGAAAAGTTCATTTCTATGGTACCTGAACTAATCAAATAGTTTTGAAAATGTCATTTTGAAATCAACCTCAACATTTCCCCCCCCCTCCAGTTTTTCATTTCAGTTTTGGTTCAAAACAAACTCTCTCTCCCCCAGATTTTTTGGTTCAACCACCAAACTAAAAATATCAATTATTTGTTCAGCTCTACTTAGAAGGGATTGTTTTAAAATAAACAATGAGACAATATAGGTTTACAGTTAAGCTATTTCCCATTACACTGTCTTCTTGACACTTACAGGCAAACATTTTTATATTTTTCAGAAAATTATAATGATGTGCCTCAAGATGGGAGAGGTAAGTTTAGAATGCAGCGAGCAGCTTTCAAGAGCGAACTATCCAAGTGAATGACAGACAAACAAACAAACAAAGATGACACCGCCAGATGGAGTTTGGTCAAGACATCTGACAATCACCTCCTATCAACTTACAAAAACAATGTTGAAAGAGTTCAGAAAACCGTCTGTAAGCAATATTTTAATTCTAGGTCAAGATTATTATTTTGAAAGGAGACATCGTATTTGATGGAAAGCTCAATACAGCGAAATGCAAGTTGCTCTTGCAAGATCCAAGCCAAGGTAGACAAGGACAACAAGACAAACCTTTGGCAGATCAACTTTCTTTGCCTCCCCATCCATCAATTGCCATTTGAGCCTAATCTGTGTCAGAATACTGAATGTGAGTTATTCCAAAGTTCTCTGGTGAACATTATGTCACAATAGGGTAGATGCTGACATTCTCAGTCACTGTTCCCACAACATCACACTTCACAATACAAAGGGACCCCTCATCCAATTAGAGTGCAGGGTAGTAGTCATTTCAGTCCCTGATTCTGGTCATTTTATTCACAGCAATGAGACTGGCATGATATCATCAAATTCCTGAGCACAACAAGTGGCCTCCTGTACTTGCCCTCCAGAGGAGGGTACAAACATTTAAAAACAATTTAAAAAAAAAGGACAACCTCTCCCCTTCCTGAACCTGATTGGAAACGAAAAAAAAATCCCTCCGATTACAATAGCAATAACACCACTACCCCTCTGTTTTACAAGGCAATAATCCAATTCCCTCAGGCTGATAGTTATTCAGCAATTGATTGGTATCATAATTTATCCCCCTCAGGAATGGGAGGATTGCTTTGCAAGCCAGAACAGCAATGGGATACCGAGTCGCCGCGTGTTGCAATAGCCTGACTATATTTTATGGTAGGGATTTAACTTGAAGACATACAGTACATTTTATATCAGGGGTGGCCACATTTACTAACCCTCCGAGCCACATACAATAACCTTCAGAAGTTCGAGAGCCGGGCGCACCTGCTGCGGCTTGGGGCTTCAGCAGGAGCAAGGCTGAAGCCTTGAGCCCCAGCAGATGCTTCCCATGGGGCTGGAGCCCCGAGGATCCCCCCTCTCCACAGGGCAGAAGCCCCTAGCCTTACCACCTTGCCTCAGGGCAGAAGCCCTGAGCTCCACTCCCCTCCCCTCCCCCCGGTCTGGTAGGTGGAGAACAGGGGAAGGAGGGCTCCGTGAACTGCATTTTAACTGTAAAAGAGTCACATGTGGCCCGCGAACCACAGTTTGGTCACCCCTGTTTTATATCAACCGTTCCTGTGAAATGAAGTCATGCAGCAAGACTTCATTTTATACAGAGCACCTGGTGACTACAACCAAACAGAGGAATTCCTCTGGAATCATAGTACTCAACGCAGCCACATTAGTGCCAAACTAATTCAGCAGAGCTAATATTATTTCGACCAACACCAAATGATCTGACTATGACTTAGTCACACATATTTGAGAGCATCATCAATAGCAGGAACACTTTCCATGTCTACTGAGTAACATGAAGTCTTCTGTTAAAACTTCTTTGTATTGAGTGCATTTTTCTTTTTTCTACTGAACAGCTAAGGGATACATTATTACTGGACACTTTGGGCCAAATTATGGCTGCCTTGCAGAAGTGCATTAGATAGGGAAAAGCACAGAGAGGCATCAGTGCTGGAGAGCATAAGCCAGCCAATCTTGCCTGCAGCAGTCCAGTTCTCAGAGGAGGCCTGCCTGAGTAGGACAGGGACATCTCTATGTCCCACCTCATTGCACGCCAACCAGTCAATACAAAACATCACTGGGGGAAGGGCATACTATACCTAATGAAAAGGTGTAGCAAGTGCCACAGGTAAGCATGCTTCCCCTTCAGCACCCTTGCAGGCATTGGACTTGCTCCTGCTCCCCGCAGAATGCCTGCAGCATCCCGTCTGTGAACGGTATTCAGATGCCCCCCTTTTCCCTGCACGTGATTCAGTTTGTAGAGCCATACTAGAGCCTTTAAAGTCGTACTGTGGTATTGCACATGGTGGGAAATGTAGCACTCCAAGTAAAGGGAGTCAATATTTTTTAAATTCTCAATTCACTTTAAACCAGGGAGCTTTTAGTTTTCTAAAAATAGCGTTTCATTATACCGTAGCAGCAGCATTCAAAGCACTTTAGTTGAAGTTGGGACAATAAGAGCTCCATCAAAGAGGTATTAGAGAGCGTTTTCAGATACTGGTACAAATACAGCATTGGTTTTTGCAAAAATAGTACTTAGCCTGAGCAAAGGGGCTGAGCTTGCATGGAAGGGAGAACACACACAGTGGAGCTGTGAGATGGAACCCTCTTTCCCAACTTGCTAGTAAGGGCCAGAAAAATCATATAGCCAAAAGTAACACTGATTCTGGCCATGCCTCCATGGGCAATGTACCTCCTTTTTTTCCCTAGCTGCCTTCCCTTGCAAAGACACCCTTTCTAACGGTTATATCTACAATACACAGAGTCTCCTTGCACAAGTTTTTTTGCTACTTATTCCTTTCCCCCACCATCACAGCATCGCAGGTCCATGGACCTGACACACATACGTAAGGTACCACAGGATCAAGTCTACAGAAGTTTGGGAACCATTTGTTACAAACAGGAATAGTAATAGAGGCACTTAGCACTTCCAAGGATCAGGCCTGCTGCTCCCCTGAGAATGCAGGGTTCTTAGACCAGCACACTCTGTTATTCATCGTTCACTGTGTGATGTCTAACTCAGCACAACAGGCTGAATTAAGGTTGGAATGTCAGACTTTAAAGTCAACTTAGAAATCAAACTTCTCCGTAATATTTTAACTACTATATTACTACAAGAAGCATTTGTGCTTACTATCAATGAAAGACGAGAGAAAAATTATTTCACTATTTTTTCCAGTTTGTTTACTTTAGAGTTGACTGCACTTTGGGCTTCTCTAAACTTGAAATACTACTGCGGCGCTGCAGCTGTGCCCCTGTAGTGCTTCAGAGTAGACACTACCGGCACCGACGGGAGGAGATCTCCTGTCCGCAATAGTTAATCCGCCTTCCTGAGAGGCAGTAGCTAGGTTGATGGAAGAATTCTTCCGTCGACCTAGCACTGTCTACATTGTGGGTTAGGTCGGCTTAACTACATTGCTCAAGGATGCAGATTTTTCAGACCCCTGAGCGACTTAGCTAGGTCAACCTAACTTTTTAGGGTAGGCCAGGCCTTTGTACGTAGTCAGTTTCTCGGTTTCTCCTGTGGAGTCAATTTCCCCATTCATTTGTGTGGATCTATCATGCAGCAATGAGAGTGAGACAGTTAGAGAACAGAAGAATGTGATCGTAAAAATCACAAAAGCTGGCAAAGGGACTCAGGAGTGAGTGAGCCTTAGAACTCACTTTTCTTAAATTAATAGTTTTCACATTGTTGGTGTCCCTTTACAAGTCTTGAGTTTTGTCCATTCAGGTCTCAACTTCAATAATACTGAAACAATGCGTTAGATACCAATAGCTGTTTCCAAACTTCAGCTGATTGATTTTAACCTTGCATAACATAAAATGAATTCTCTGGGCTAGATTCTGATCTTGAGCACTATTTTACACCAGTGTAACTCCATTCACTTCAGTGGAGTAACTCCGGACTTACAACACAGAAAATCAGGCCCACAGAGGATATTCTCCATTAAAATAAATGAATATTTTCTGCAACTCGGCAACTTTACAATCAACAGAATTGTTTCCTGTACATAGTCATTCAAACAATCTCCTTCAAAACAAGAAAAGCAAACTCTTCCTAAGTGTTTTTTTTTAAAAACTACCTACTTTTATTGTGAGGTTATTGCCACCATAGAGATCTTTGTAAAAAGCTTATGTTCATGAAGGAATTTGTATTAGATACTGGTTTGTGTGACTTACTGTATTTTGTAAGGGTTTTTTCCCTTTGGGAATTGTGTTATTAATGAGCAGTTTTATGCTTTATTTCTGGTATGTGTACACATTGTAATTGATGTGCTTTTTTTTTTTAAATCTCTGTACAGAACAGATTGATATTAGGTAGATACTCACTGGCTGAAGTTTTCATATTGCCTACAAATTTACACATGTGGATAAATCCATATCATAACAGAGGAACAATAGTTCATCTATCGTCAGTAAAAAAAACAAACAGCGTATAGCCTATATATTGTACTTGAATATTGGATCTTGACTAAAACGAATATTAGTTCAGCCTTAATCTAAAACAAAACACACAGGTAAATTCCCTCCCCCCCACCCCCACACACAGTCCCTATCTTTTGTATTCTGAAGTTTTCGAAAAGCAATGACTAGGTAAACAATATCTGTAATATATCAGCCATCAAATAAGGCTGTGCTCCAACAGTTCTCTACGTTTAGCTTGTGTAAAATGATTACAGCAAAAACTAAATAAATTACACCAAATTCTACATTTACTTTTACCTTAAGAGCCTGATTCACTCAGCTCTTCTAGGGTGACCAGATGTCTGTTTTTTGACCAGAACATCCAGTCGAAAAGGGAACCTGGCGGCTCTGGTCAGCACCGCTGGTCGGCAGTTCTGTAGAGCTAAGGCAGGCTTGTCTCTACCTGTCCTGGCTCTGTGCTGCACCCCAGAAGCGGCCAGCAGGTCTGGCTCCTAGGCAGGGGGCCACGGGGGCTCCATGCGCTACCCGCACCCCGAGCACCAGCTCCACACTCCCATTGGCCAGGAACCGCAGCCAATGGCAGCTGCAGCGGCTGTGCCCGCGGGACAGAGCAGTGCGCAGAGCTACCTGCCACGCCTCCACTGAGGATCCGAACCTGCAGTGCTGGCCACTTCTGGGGTGCAGCGTGGACTCAGGACACGCAGGAAGCCTGCCTTAGCCCCCCCGCGCTGCACCGCAGATCGGGAGCCACCAGAGGTAAGCCTGCACCCCAACCCCCTGCCCCATCCCTGAGCCCCCTCCCAAACCCGGAGCCCACTTCTGCACCCCAATGCCCTCATCCTCAGCCCCACTCCAAACCCTGCACCCACAGATGGAGCCCTCACCCCTGCTGCACCCCAACCCCCTGCCCCAGCCCAGAGCCCCCTCCCACACCTTCAACCCCTCTGCCCCACCCCCCAGCCTGGAGCCCCCTCCTGCACCCCAAATCCCCATCCGTGGTCCCACTCCAGAGCCCGCATTCCTTCCCACAGACCAATCCCCTGCCCCAGACCCCTCCTGCCCCAGACCCTGAACCCCTCATTTCTGGCCCCAACCCAGAGCCCACACCCCCCCAATTAGAGCTCTCACCCCACCCCAACCCAAGTGAGGGAGCAAGGAAGGGAGGAGAGTGAGCAACCGAGGGAGGGAGAATGTAGTGAGTGGGGGGCAGGGCCTCAGGGAAGGGGCAGGGCTAGGGTGTTCGGTTTTGTGTGATTGGAAAGTTGGCAACCCTAAGCACTTCTAAGGATCAGGTCCACAACATGTCAGCTTTGGTTCAAAAAAGAAAGGGGGGGAAAGGGGGGGCTTTTGTTTATGCCCTTTCCTATGTAATAACATGGGGCACAAAATCACTTTAGTATGGAAGTGACTAAT